ACCAGAGAGGGACGCGCACCCTCGGAAACCAATGGATTGATCCGCGGCAGGGCGCATGTGCGCCCGCATCTTTTTTTAATCCGTGCAGCTAAACCGTGAGCTGTTCCTGAGCGCAATAATCATCTGGGCCAGCCTTTCACATCCCACCCCCGCCCGCCCCCTTCCCATCGGCCATCGCGGACGACACCGCTGGGGACCTGTCCCACCGCCGGTGGCGGTCGCGCGGCCTTTTCCGCCCCCTTTTCGCTGTTCGGCAGCTCAGCTCAGCCTCGGCGGACAACCGCGGCGGCCTTGGACTTGGACAGCGTCATGAGGCATGCACGCAGCAGAAGGCAGTCCTTGCTGCGTCTCTCTCTCTCTCTCTCTCTCTCTCTCTCTCCCTCCCTCCCTGTGCTCGTGTCATTCTAGCCAGCTCTTTGATGCTCTACGGGTAGCCAGGGCCCGCCGGCCCTACGGGACAAGCGACATGTTGGTGCCGTATGTGGTGTATTGGGTTGGAGTTGGACCTGATCCCGATTGGTTCTAGTGTGCACTCCCACGCAACGGCTTCCCGGCTGGACCCGGACGCAGCGCAGGTGCAGGTGTCCCTTACATTGCCTAGCAGCCGCATACTATGCCAGGGCCGGGTCGACTGTGCGTCTGGTAAAGAGCGTGAGAAGACCCTCGTTTTCTATACCAAGTTGAAGGCCGTCACGATTAGAACGAACTGGCAATTCGTTGATTGATTGCCGCCATGTGCGTGCTCCCCCAGGTGAACCACCCAGCTCGCTCCGGGTGAACAGCAAAACAGGCAGCATCACGCAACCACCAACCGGAGCACACTGCCACATGGTGAGTGACACACACATATATATACACACACACACACACGCACACGCACAGACGCTTCCGAGGACAGTAGCAGCATACTCCTACGCGAACGGGGAATCGAATCGAATCGATCGATTAACGGGCGGCAGTCACCGTGTGGCCTGCCAAACTGTCCCCCGGCCCCGCCTGCGCTGCGCGGCCTGGCCATCCATCCCTTCGCTTCCACGCACCAATCTTGTCCCGGCGCCTGCCAAATCCAGGAAGGCCACAGCCCGAGACAGGGCAGCGGGAACAGCGAGAGAGAGCAGTTGAGCACTTGCGGCAACCGCTGACGCACGGCACGGCAATGGCGGCTTCTTCGGGAACGCGCTCCGTGCGCCTGCTGCTGCTCTGCCTGCTCGGGTTCTGCGTCGCGCTGAGCCACCAGGAGTCGTCGTCGTCCACGGACTCGTGCGCCACGGCCAAGGTCGCGGTCGCCAGCCTCGTGCCCTTCGACTCCACGTCCTTCCGCTGCACCGCTGCCTGGAAGCAGCAAGACTTCGTCCTCAGGGTATGCCTGCTCTGCTGCTCAACCATTTGCGATTCTCCGTTTCTACTGCTGGTTCTTGTTTTCCCCCTTCCTTTTCATACATACACATACATGTCGTCGTGTGTTCGTCGTCGCTGGGAGTCCTCGGATTCGTTCTAGGCTAGATCCCAGTGCCACTGCATTCCTTCAGAGCTCCGACGGAGCAGGCACTCGATCTGCGAATTGTGGAGTTCATTCAGTGCGTCGCGCGCATTGCATCGCCATCACCGTCACCATCGGGTGCGGTGAGGTAATAACACCCCGATCTGACCGCCTCGTTCGTTCGTGCCGCCAGTACAAGAACACCGGGCCCAGCGAGTGGAGCTTCATCCTCTCGGCGCCGGACAAGGGCTCGTACGTGGCGGTGGGCTTCTCGGGCAAGGGCGCCATGGTCGGGAGCAGTGCCGTCGTCGGGTGGGCGTCCAACGGCAGGGGCACCGTCAAGCAGTACTACCTCGGCGGCAAGAGCCCCGAGGACTGCACCCCAAACAGGGGCCTCCTCAAGCTCGAGAGGAACAGGTCCGTCGTCGTCTCGCGCTCCGGCCGCCTCTACCTCGCCTTCCAGCTCAGCACCGACTACCCGCAGCCGTACCTGATCTTCGCTGTCGGGCCGGACGGCAGCCTGCCGCAGTCCGACTCCCTGCGGCTGCCGATGCACCAGAGCATGGCCTCCCGCTCCTTCAACTACACCTCCGGTATGCATGCATGATGTCCTCCGAATTCACTCACGCAGTTTGTTTTGCAATTCTCCCTCCGATTGCCGCCGAATCGCCAAATGCGTGCGTGAGCGTGACAGAGGATCTCGTTCTTACCTGTGCTCGTCGCTTGCTCATCAGGGATGTCTTACAACACCGCCGGCTCGTCCGGCGACCAGGGGGCGTTCCCGACGGAGAGGAAGCACGGGCTGCTGGGCATGATGGGGTGGGGCGTGCTGATGCCCATCGGCATGATCACCGCGCGCTACTTCCGGCAGCTGGACCCGTGCTGGTTCTACACCCACATGGCCATCCAGGTGTCCGGCTACGCCGTCGGCATCGCGGGCATCGTCCTCGGCTTCCGCCTCAACGAGGACGGGCTCAAGAACGTGGACGTGCACAAGGCGCTCGGCATCGCCATCTTGGCCATGGCGTCTCTTCAGGTACGCAGGTCGCAGCGCACCATGGAAAACGAAACTACTAGAAAATTGCCTGAGTTACAGTACTACTCCTAGATTTAAGATTTAACAGCCTCTATAATTAACACGGGGAAATTTTTTGAATATATATAAATCATGATTTTGTACTGGTATCCATCCACTTTCGGTTGGTTCGGCACATGCGTACGGTGTGGATTGGAGTCTGCCGCAATGGCCAGGCTGGATAAAACAGCATGGTTTTACGAGGTTTGTTTGTAGTAGTTGACCGTGATTAAGTACAGCATAGGACTGAAGGAGTGAGAACATTTTCAGTCACATGCCCCGTGAGCAGAATAGAGGCTTCCATTTTTGTTGACAGCAGAGCAGAGGCTAGACAGACAATGCGCACCGTAGCCTTGCAATTGTTTATGCTTTGAATCTTCGGTCGCTATGGCTGGCTGTGTGAAAGTTGTCGAGCACTGAAGCTGACCTTGACCCTAGGGAAACTGCAGTACTCCTGCAGATCAATTTTTTTTACTGTCTCGAGTCCCTAACACGAAGGGCCCAACATCATAGAAGTCCATTTTCAGACGAACTAGTGGAAAAATGAGTACGTATTGGCTGTTTATTGTTGGCTTTTCGTGCGTGCTGATGTGTGTGTGTGTGTGTGTGCGCTTTGTTTGATCCACCTGCAGGTGATGGCGATCCTGGCGCGGCCGGACAAGACGTCCAAGGTGCGGCGGTTCTGGAACTGGTACCACCACAGCATCGGCCGCGCGACGATCCTGCTGGCCATCGGCAACATCTTCCTGGGCCTCTCCATCGCGCAGGAGATCAGCGCCTACATCGTCTCCTACGGCGTGTTCGTCGCCGTGTGGGTGGTCGCCATCGCCGCCTTCGAGATGAAGCGGTGCTACGCCGACGACGACTGATCGAGCGTACGTACGTGGACGGTAACGGCGAAACGTACAGTCAGTTCGTTCCGAGAACAGCTAGCTGGCCATAGGACGACGAAGTTGATGACGTAAATTAAGCGTTCACGACCAGTGACGTGACAGTGTGACACACATACACCATTCTTGTTCCGTAGCTCGCAGCTGGACAGTGCATTCGGGTTTGGTTGGCTAAAATTTGTTTTTTGGGGCGGGGTATAGGATGTGAAGAAGGGGCCGGACTGCTGTGTTCTAGCCTAGCTGGACGCTCTGATTCATATATTTTGTACATTGGTACATGGTCATGTTGTGTTGTACCCTTTTGGACGATAGCTTGTTCTTCAACCTTTTTTTCTGTTTCCACCGTGCATTGATCAATGATAACTTATATTCGCTGATTCCTGGACACAGCTGTGCCTTGATCTTTATGCGTCGTTTCAGTTTCAGAACGCACCAACCGGAAGCTACGTGCTGTAGTGTTGACTGCTGTGGTGCGTATACCAGCACCGACCACAAATGGAGCGATCAAGCCCGTGATTCGCCGCTGCTGGCGGCGCCGGGCGCGGCGATATTCCCGACCGTGTTGCGGCGGCTGAACGTACGCGCAAGCGGCTCCCTGTCGTGTCTCAACGGAAGGAAGGGAGGCGAAGTGGATGATGGACAGCCGCGGCCGAAGCCCCACGCGGCCACGAAGCGCGCACGTCCGAAACCCCAGCCGACAGCCGCGGGCTGAGACCACGGCCGGCCGGCACGTCCGCACGTACGGCGAGGACGCGCGGCTGAATGGCCGTGCTCAGCGTCTGAGCGCACGCCGGGTGCAAAAGTTGCCGACGAGTCACATCGAATCAGCCCGGGCTTATCCAGGCTCATCGCCTTCAGAGTCACATCGAATCAGCTAAATGCTAATCGAGGCTGATGGCCTTCGCCTTCGGAGTCACATCGAATCAGCTAATGCTTATCGAACATCATCGCCTTCAGATGGTGGTGACTAGGATCCGATGACACCTCACCACAAGTCGCAGACTTGTCACCACAAACTCAAATCTGGCCCAAGTAATCCAACGGAGTGCGCAGTTTAAGCCACAATTTCAGCCAGACAGCTAGCACCATCAACACTCAACAGGCTAAGGTGGTCCAGATCATCATGTTTAGTTGTTTATTACAGGTCAAGCGGACACCAACGTTTTCGTCCATGCCATTTTTCTGAAGCTGGGGCATATCAACCTTGCGCTAAGGTTCATTTTGATCTTGGATTCTTGGGTAACGGACACGAGGTTTTAGGTCCTCAAGGTGAACTATTGCAAAGACCCATTGTCATTGTGCTCTTGCACAGATGCGCGAACGGCTCCAGGCACAAAGTCATGGCCAGTTACAAGCATCCGGCACGGTAAATGACTCAGCTTGGTCCATCAGCACTAAAGCTTACAACCAAATGGGAGCTACAGGCTGCACAAAATCTAAGTGCCTCAAACAATTTGAACGTTCACCTAGACACCACGCTAACCGATGCATGAATCACTCAGTCAGACAGAGCAAACATTATTCCTAACAACTGACATGAATCCATGCTAAAATCTCAGGGTTCACTCTTGACAGCATGGCTGTCTGAGGCGCCTGCATTTTGAGCATGTGATGACGTGGCAAATCCTCTCATCTTTAGGTCCACCGGGAATGGATGCGCCTCCTGCAGCAACTGGTGCTGCTGCTGCTGCTGCAAATGCGTCTGCTGTTGCTGATGCTGGGAGTGGATCTGGAGCTGCTGCAGCTGCTGAGCAGCCAGAAGGGACTGTATATGGCTGCGCTGGTAACTTTGTGGATTGCCTCCAAATGAGAACATACCAAAGTTTCCCATTTTTCCAATGTTGGCATTTACCTGTCCTGTTGCAACCTTCAGTTGCTGAATCTCGTCTCTTAGCCTGTCGTTCAGAGCTGCAGGTACACAAGGACTAGTTACAATACTAGAGATGGAAAGGGGATCTTTGGGGATAAGCTTTTGTGGTAACTTCCCAAAATAGCTAAAAGTGATATAAATTACTTCCTCCATTCCAAATTGTAAGTCGTTCTGGTTTTTCTAGATACATAGTTTTTACTATGTATCTAGACATAATATATATTTAGATGCATAGCAAAAGCTATGTATCTAGAAAAGCCAGAACGACTTATAATTTGGAACAGAGGGAGTATGTTTTATTATAAGTCTCAAATGACAATGAACTAATGTTAATATTATTAAATGAATGTTTAGCATGTTTTACATTTCCCTTAATTTTATAGTATAGCCAAACCGACAACTTCAGGACAATCTTTTCAATTGCAAATTTTTTCCTTCTTTTCACTTTTTTTGGGGGGTGGGGGGGTGTATAATCAAATCAAATAAACATCACACAAATGTGTCGTTTCATTTCTAAAACTTCAACTTATTCACTTTGAACTCAAAGAAAAATATATAGAAGCCTTACCATCCTGCAGCCGAACCTGCTGCTCCATTGTCTGCACACGTATCTTCAGATCACTATTCTCACTTGTCAAACCACTGGTATCTCGCTGTACCATACAGATAATCAATTATAAAGTTGTAGGAAAAGGGGAAACAGGTATTCTGAAAACATAAAACTACATCAGTGCCGTCTATGTTCTACATGTAGGTGGTATGAGCATGATGAGATGGAGGATGTGACCAGTGGCTATGGAACTGGGCGGCAAAAGGATGGGTGGGGGGGGAGGGAGGCTGAAAGGTTGAAAAACAGAAGGTTATTGGCCCTTTGCTTCTATTTTTCCAACCATGACACATCTTCTCACTTTATAGAGATGGGGGTTCCTTGACCATTAAGACCCTGTTTATGCAGGGCAAGTTCGGAGCTCCATCTCTGATGTGAAGTTTGTATGCTAAAATCAAGAATCTTGAGACTACCTTTTGTCTAGAATAGAAAGAAAACAGTTTAACCAAACAACCAAAGTATACCCACAGCTCTAGATCCATAAATTTCCAGAGCTAGGAATACCCAGCTCCAAGAAATCCACAAATTTCCAGGAGCTAGAACTCTGCCAAACAATGCTGAAGGAAATTATAAATGGGGTTTTACAGATATGATCTGACTTTCCAAACTGAAGAATGATGAACTTTCTAAATAAACAATGACTTGGTTTGGACGACAAGCTGGCAACGGCAGGGGCAGCCTCCTGGTAGCAGCGTGGGGGCTGGTGGCGACTGTAGGGAATATTGCCACCCTCTTGGGCTGCTGGCTGGCCGTGTGGGCTTTGCCACCCATAACAGTCGGATAAGAGTTACCAAACAGAAAGCAAAGCACACCTTATGATTATTTGCAGAACACGCTTCAGGAGTAAAGCATGATCTTCTTTTTTTAAGAAAGATATTCAAGCCTGGAAAACTAATACCCATATGCAGACACATAAGGAAGCTTATGCTTGTTATTGTAGAATTGAAGAACCAAAGCCACAAATATCTAATGTAGAACTGTTAATAAATGCTCAAAACATTGCAAAAGTAATCCATGTATCAAACTGCGTATATATTCAAAATCTTTGTTGACTGTTCATGAGACAAAGCAACTGTGACTCTGAGTAGCAACCAAATTGCAGATTATAATGTAGACATTTATCTAACACGTCTCCATATTAAAAAATTCAGGAAAAGGTAAGTACAACTGTACAAGTGAAGAACCTGCAACATGGCCAGCTGAGCTGATAGTGTAGTTGCTTCTGACTGGACAGTCTGTACTTTCCTTTCAAGCTCTGCAATGTAGCGCATCTTTCTTTCCTTTGACCTAGCAGCTGACTGGCGGTTTGCCAAAATCCTAAAATATGCCATGAAAGTAATTACTTGGTCACTGGAGCAAGTGATCTAATTACCATAACCAAAATACAAATCTAGACTGCTGAGATGTGTTATCATTCAACCACTCACACATTAAAAACCTCCAGAATTCACATGATTTGAATATACTAAGTTACATGGAGCATAAGTTTGTTACAGATTACAGCTGACAAAATGTTACTGCCCCTACTCCAAATATAAGTTCATTAGGATATACTATTTGACTAATAGCATCTATTAAATATATTTATTTAAAAAGAAAGTATTGTATATTATGACAGTATGCTCCATGATGAAAAAGGTCTGACTTAGAACAAACCAAAATGGGCATACATTTGGGATCAAGAGTACTAAAGTACAGTGATACATTACAGGATCATTCCCATGTATTTTAGAATATACACTCCCCACACTCCCGGTGGTTTCCCCCAAGATAGAGAATGAATACCTACTGACAACGACATGACATAGTCTGGTACTCTGGCATATAGTGGTATAAAATATCCACTCGACGAGCGGACCAATTACAAGGGATAATTCATTCATAGGACTGGAAATTGAAGTACCCAATTATACTGTCATTATGTCAACAGCACAAGTATGAAGAGCACAGCATAGAGGACTACTACAATTCTTTGCAAATCAAGATCAGTGATGTTATACTTTTGTCTAATTTGAAGTACCACAACTTAATGGACCTATCAGTGGATCAATGATGAACCAAGATTGCCTTTCATCTATGATATCGACAGTCCATAGTGCTATATATTCTGCTGGATCACAATCAGGCCAAAAGTTCTAGTAGGTCCCATTTCAATCTATGTTCCAGATTCCACAACTTTCTTCCCTTTCACACTCAGTTCCTGTGACTCTTTTGCAGGAGGCTGCGCTCTTTAAAATTAGCAGTAACAGTATCCTCGGGTGATCAGTCCTTGTCAAACGCCGCCACAATCAATATCATATTCGCCCGATTGCTATTACTAACCGGAAATACTACAAAGGTGACAGACGACAACCATAGTCGCAAATAGAACAGGGGCAGCTCTCCTCCGTAGGATGCTGTTAGATTCTCACCTCTTGGCGCGCTTGGGGTCAACGAGCGCGAGCTCGGCGAGCTTAGCGTCGGAGATGGCCTTCTTGGCGTCAGCGCCCGCCCTCCCAGGCGTCCCCGCGGCGGCGGATCCAAGCAGGGACGTGGAGCCGTCCATCGACATGCTGTGCTGGTGCCGTGGCCGCGGCGGCGGCGTCGGCGTCGCCGCCGGATGCGGGTGCGCCGAGGGCTCCGACGGCCCGGGGAGCGTGCCGCCGTTCTCGAGGAACATCTCAAACATCCGGCTGCCGCCAGCTCCGCCGCCCCCTTCCTCGTCCTCGTCGTCGTCCTCCTCGTCCTCGTCGCCGGCCACGCAGGCCTCCCCGACGACGCCGAGGTCGGCGTCGAAGGTGAGGTCGTCGGGGAGCGCGGCGCCCCCGAGGAGGATCTCCGACTGCGCGCGGCGGTGCCCCGCCCCGCGCCGCGGCGGCGAGTCCGGCAGCATCGCGGCGACGTCCCCCGACGCCGCCGCCGCAGAGGCGGAGGCGGAGGCGGAGGCCGAGCAGGAGGCGGCCGGGTCCGCAGGCGAGGCCGGGTCCATGGAGATCTGGGAAATGCGGGTGGGGGTGCGCTGGGGCGGGGGCGGCGTGAGGGGGGCAGAGAGACAAGGGAGCAGGAGCCAAGAGGGAGTTGGAGGAGCAAGGACTAGGAGTAGGAGGGGCAGGAGGAAGACATGCTCGCGTTGAGCTTTGACCGAGGCATTGACTCCTCGGAGTCGAAAAACAGGGAGGAGAGGCATCCGCAATTCCGCACCGTGGACGTAGCCCGTGGGACGTGAGTGTTTTTTTTTTTTTTTGAGCAAGTGGGACGTGAGTGGTGTACTGGTATGGCCAGGCCGTCGCCGCTGCTGCATTGGGCCTGCAGATCTGCCCATCTGGCCGAGATGCGCGCCGAGCTGGGGCCAGCTGCGGCCTGCGGGCTCGACCGGCTGCTGGTACCAGGCTGCTGGTACGAAACAGGAGACGCTTCGTTTTATTTGGCTTTTAAACATGGACACCGTCCGAAACTGTGCAGGTTTTTCTTTTAAATACATTTAATACCCATGCACGGTCTTCGAGTTCGTTGGAGCTTAAGGTGGAACTAAACAAGGACCTACTGGGCTTGGACACCTCCGAAGGTTCCGGAGTCTAGTTCGTTGGCAGCCAGATGGAGGGCACTGTAACCAAGTTACCAGGCTATATTTTAACTTTATATATGGTCATATAGATTTTTGTTGTTAATTGTCTCAGCCCGGAACAGATTTTGGTCTGCTCGGCTGCTTGTTTCACGTGAGCAGCTGTTGCCGCGGCTGGTGGTATAAGATAGTAAACACCATGAGAGGCTGACATGTGGGACCGCAGGACATGACCTGCATCCACAGAGCCTGGCTCCGCTGTGAAGGTTAAATTGGCCGCATCACCTCAGCCTAGCTGCGCGCGTGCATTTGCACCGGCGGATGCAGCGTATCACAGTGGAACGGGCTTCCAAACAACCATTTTTCATAGTTTATACGGATGAGCGGATGCAGGCTCGTGAGAACCGAGCATCCAAACACGCCTATTATTGCTCAGGAATGCGTCTCTATCTCCGAGAAATATATAAACCTCTCTTTTCCTGGAAAAAAAGCATATTCGTCAGGACCGAAGTGGAGCTAAAGATTGCTTGAAGCTGAAATCCCAAGCGGAATGGATCGGGTGGCCGGTAAGTCTAATTGATCGTCGGTGCTCTGCGGTGGCAGCATCAGCAACTTGAAGCACTCGAGTTCACTTGTTCCAGAGAGGCAGAGAGCGTAAGGCCTCGTTACGAACGGTTGTTGTGCACACTTTTTTTTTCTTTTTGATTGACCTGCGCACAACTGTAAAATCCACGGATTTCGAACAGGGAGCCCACCAGCCGCGGAAACAGCTGCAATAAACAACCTGCACCCGTGGGCGCCCAAACGCAATCTGCAGGACTGCAGAACAATTCCAGCTAGGCTACTCCGATTCCATGACATTACCCAAACAGCTATAGATTACAAAACAGAGTCAGGACCTGATACTGATGTAGAAGCAGCCCTTGGTAACTCGGTACACGTTTCAACCGCCTGACTTGGGAAAGGTTGGAACATAAGCATCCAGACGAAACATACAGTAGAAGAGGCGAGATGTGAAGCTACAGAACGAACGAACAAGCACCAGGGCTGCCCCCCTCTTTTATTTCAGCTGCCTATCTAAAGATCTCTCGGGACTACAGAGGATACAGTCATTTTGCATAGGTACAGTTGGTCTGGGGAGCAACGAGTTGACGAGCTCCTCGTTTATCTTCACAGGTAGCGGGGGCATCTGCTTCATGATCTCTGGAGCATCGTTTATCCTGAAAACATTTTGCATGGGATCAGAACTTACATATCACAACTGTTGAATTTGGACAGAATAAAATATTTTGTATAGAGAAAAGAAGTTCCAGTGATGTATTTAGTAAGGGTGCGCATTTGTGTTTCTGGTCCTTTCAAGTGCAGTGAACTTCGTAAGATTTTAGAATTCCTGACACATAGCTAAAAACCTAAAGGAACTTATTCATGGTAGTAAGTAGCAGCAAGCAGCACTCCTGTGTATTCGGGGGAGATGAAACTAGTGCAGTAGTACTCCTAACATGAACTAGCAAATTGGATTCTCACTCTACATAGAACATTCTACTGCTGTCAAGAGTCAAAGACCAGACTATGGACAGCAAGTATAGAATACTTAAAAGTTATCTCAGTTTGACAGTTTCTTTAACACTGCCAAAAGGAGTATCTTGCCGAATTACGACAGACATATATGATGCATTGCCACAGTGAAGGAAACATATCTCTTATATGTTATGAAAATGTATGCATCTAATAACAAACGGGGCTGAACATATTGGATGAATATACCACTTCAAAAGGTTTTCAAATAAACGCAATAGTAATTCAAAACATACTCTTTCAAGACCCTGAGTATATTATCTCGAGTTTGGCACAGCAGAGAGATGTTGTCCTGTATCTGCAGAAAGAAATTAACCACGAATAAATAAATTAACAAGACAAAACCTAGAGCTTGTGATTAGAAAGTCAACAAGAAAATATGGGCAGTTCGCACCCACAAACCACCCAGAAATAAAAGGATACCTGCATGTTGCTAAGGTTAGACGAAATTTGACTCAAAACCTGGGCATTAGTTTCAAGGATTTCGCCTGTTGGACCTCCAATGGCTGCAGAAGACGAAAAGGATGAAATTACTAATAAGTCAGTATCTAGTCCACTGCCCATGATTCAAGCGGCTCAAGAACATCCATCAAATTTAAAAATGCATAGAGTAGAAAAAACAGCTCAAATATGTCAAGCAATTATCTGCAGATTCCCACGATGTATTGCCAGATAAAGAATCATGTAAAAAGCAAAGAAGCCATGCAACTGTAAATAGTGATTGTCATCTAGTATGCACTGTCCATATGTAAAAAAAGAGTACAATCTGCCAGTCCTGGACCAGTCTATATTCCTAGCACTTATTATTAAGAATATAAAATTACCCTTTGAAGATTTTAATACAAAATTATAATTTAAATTATTGATTTGTGTCTGATGTGAGAGAAACTTATATGAAAAAGATCACAATAGCAAATAATGATTTAATGCAGCAAACTGTCAATCTCTACCACAAGTTAGGCGTGAAAGCGAACTGCATCTACCAACACATTTCCCCTTTTGTAGCAGTAAGATTGCCCAGAATCAGACTCTACATGACAGGTCAGCTATATTTTTAAACACCAAGTCAGTTGGTTTCTGGTTTTGATGCCTCAAATATACTGCAGAACCCAATACACAATGGATGCCATTGCTATAGACATATGTATGATAGTAGCAACTAGCAAGTACCAGTTACTGCATCACTTTGGAGTGATAGAAGCAGAACTATCCAAAACGAAACAGAATGTTAAATCATGCAATGATGCAAACACCAATCCTTACATTGCCATACCAATAATGGAGTAAATATAAATTTGATTTACCTTTGGATGAGATTTCATCATCGTCCATTGGAAGAACTGGAAGAGGGTATGGAGGAACATTAGGCCTACCAGCCATATGGACAGGTGGTTTTGATGAAGAATCTGAAACCTTCTCCTGCATCAATGGGTAGCTGTTAGTGCAAATCTCTTATTTAAGGAGCGTGTAATAGGAACACACACATATTGTGGTACTGTCCAACCAGATATTTGTTATGTGTGGAAATTACTGCAACAATTGATATTCTAGGCTGCATCGTAACATTTATTTAAATGGAGTACAGTCAAGAAAATATTTGGAAACCTTTTTGTCCTTGCTTTTCTTAGACGAGCTGTGATCCTCTTTCTTTCTTTTGGCACTCTCCTTTTTCTGCAGGTTCAACAAATTCCCTCAAATCATTTCTGAAATCTAAAGACTAAAGGGGCCAGGCATCATGACGCTATGAATGCTAAGTCTTATCTTACTTACATTCATCCATCTGCAGCGCAAGGCTACATCCCGAACTGTTTTCTCTGGCAACTTCATCGCAATTTTTGCATAATGAACGACAGGTAGATCGGATGCATACCTGAGAGCAAATGCTGAGAAACATTAATGGAACCATAAGGTAAAAAATTAAGGAACTCGCTGTTAACAGGGCTTCATGATGTTATCCAAACATTATACTTGCAACATCAAAATGCAAGCCTGTACACCTGATGCTACAGTCACTTTGAGCGCTGTCTTGCGTGTAAGATTTGTGTTATATAACTAACAAGAGTTCCCATGCTTCGCAGTATAGCAGAATAAAGCAAGTGTTAAGAGTGAACAAAGGGCAAACATTATCCACTTGCATCAAAAAGTCAAAGTTGAATTAACTAGGATTACATTGCAAGGAGAAGCATTAGCATGAGAAATTGACTAGGGATAAGTTTGCTCCCACTCAATTTAAAAGGATGCCGTCGAGTGTTGCGATCTACGCCTATGCAGGTACAATCTCACTGAATTGGCAATCCCATAACACAAGCGTTGCTTAATTGCTCAAATTACCAGCCACTTCTATCCAATAGTCAGAATTCAGAAACGAAAGCAACCGTCTAACTCGAATTGCGGGGCTCCCAAACTTGCAAAACCCAGAAATTCGGCGGACTCACTTGACCAGCAGCTCGTCGAGGATGGCCTGCTCCTCCGGCGACCACTCCCGCGCCAGGCCAGGGTCGTGCCGAAGCGCCGCCGCCGTGCTGCCGTTGCTAGGGTTAGCTCCCCCTCCTCCTCCTCCGCCGCCGGAGTGGGACCCGTTCTGCGCGGCGGTGCTCGCCGGCGGCGGGTGGCCGTTGGTGCCCATGGCCCCCACAATTGGCGCGAGAATGTTTCGCGGCTCGCTTCGAGAACCTGCTGCTCCGGCCCGAGTAGGCGGTGGGGAACGGGAGCCGCTCTCCTCTTCGTTGTGCGGCGAGTGGATGAGGAATAAAAAAGGGGTTTCCGTGTCTTTTTTGGGGGTTCGTTTTGATCGAACTGGATATTTTGTAGCTTCTGCAGCTTGTTGTTCGCAAGGTACGATGTACCATTTTAGTTTTCCCTATTTGTATTTTTAATTAAAAAAATACTCCTACCGTTGCATAGTACAAGAAAACTTTTAATTTATTGTATATAGTTACCTAGCTAACTTATACTCCCTCCGTATTTAAAAAATAAAATTGTTTTAGACAAGCCTTAGGTCAAACATTGAAAATATAAATCATAAATAATTTTTAAGTCGTTGAGTTTGGAAATGTAAAAACCATATGTATAGATTTGTCTTGAAAAATACTTTCACAAAAATTTACATATATCACTTTTTGATAAATATCTTTATAAAAATAAGCAGTCAAAGTTATGCTTTGGAGACCGCTTCGCTGTCCAAAACGACTTAATTTTTCAGTACGGAGAGAGTAAGTTAGCGAAGTTACCGTACATGCTTGATGGGCGCGCTACGCTGCGCGGGTCTTTGGAGAGAAAATTTTGGTAAAAAAAGAGGAAACATACCGTCAAAAAAGAAAAAAATGAACAAAAAAATTAAAACAAAAAAGGAGATAAACAGTAGCCGGACTGCGAAGGACGCAAAAAGGAAAAGGTAAACAAAAAAGTAAAAAGGAAAATGAACAGTAATGAAAACAGAAATAAAAAGAATATGAACAGTGGCATATTGCGGAGGAGGCGAGGATTCTCAGGCGGTTAAAAGAGTAGTTATAAATATGTTGCAACAGAACTTTGAGTTTATTATATGGTTGACAAGACGACGTATGGCTTAAAGATCCTATTCACCTCTGCAATCACAAGGTTTACCCCGGTAGGGGACACGTGACACGTCACCCCGAAATCTCTTAGCCGTTCGATCCCGTGATCAACGCTCCAGAATCACTCCCCCGTCATCTACAGTACACCAGTAAAAATATCTCCTTCTCTCCTCTCTCTCCCCTCGTCACTTCTCTTCCCCTCCCTTCCTCCCTCCCTCCCTCTTCCTCCCGATCTCCCGAAACGGACAGGGCGGCGACGCGAGCGCACCTCGGCGGTGCCCGGACCTCGGTGCGGCAACGGCCGCCCTCGCGGGTGGCACGCCGGTGGCCCCCTCCCCCTCCGCCTCCTTCCTCCCTCTCTCTCTGCTCTTGACCTCATCTCTCTCTGCCTCTCTCGGTATCTCCCCTTGCCCTCTCTCCCTTCCTCGCTCCTTGCCCCGAACGTCGCCGATCCCCCGCGCTGCGCGCGCGGTGACCTACACCGGCACGTCGGCTGGCTGGCCAGCCGGCCCCTGGCGAGACGACGACGCCGGCCTAGGGTTTCGCGTCTCCATTGCCCGCATATCCCCGGATCGACCGGGACCCGGCGTGGGTGATGCCGTGCCTGCCGCCCGTCTCCCGCTCCCCCGTGCGGACTCCTGCACGCTTCTGGCGCGGCTCTGCTTTGCCTCGATCCGTTCGCTCCCTGGTTTGCTCTCTCTCTCTCTCTCTCTCTCTCTCGTTCGTGTGCAGTGGATCTGCTATGTGCGGTGGCATTGCTTTGCGATTTGGAGGCAATCCGACAAGCTAAGGTCCATTTGATCGTCCAGCTGGCATTGCTTTGCGATTTGGAGGCAATCCATCTATTGTTCTCCCACTTTTCCCTTACCAATCTAGATGGTTACTGCCTTACAGCACATTTTTTTTGCATTGCGTATCTTGTTACCTGCTCGGTTTGGCTGGATCTTGAGACAACTAGGTATTGTGCCATATATCTGACGTTATCACCATGTCAATGATATTTGTTCGTGCTCATGATTACAACAACAACAAAGCCTTTAAATCCCAAACAAGTTTGTAGTATCTACATGCCAATTAAGATCTCCTCCTATAAAAAGCTTCTCACTACTAGGTACAGCTCTAATCAGGCCATCTAAGTCTTCCCAGAACTATCTCTTAGCACTCTCGTCGAGGCCTACTTAGGGGGCATACGCACTAATTACGTTCAAGACCATATCACTAACGACAAGTTTGACTAAGATAATCCTATCTCCTTGCCTTCTCACTCCCACCACACCATTCTTGAGGCTCTTATCAATCAAAACTCCTACTCCATTTCTATTCATGACTATCCCTGTGTACCAAAGCTTGAAACCTGTATTGTCCACCTCCTGCGTCTTCTGACCCTTCTATTTAGTCTCTTGACGCATAATATATTTACACGCCTCCTAGTCGCGGTATCAACTAATTCTCTTAACTTACCTGTAAGTGACCCTACATTCTAACTACCTAAACGGATCCTAGTTGGTTCGACTAGCTTCCTTACCCTTCACACCCGTCGACTCAGATGTGAAGACCCTTGCTCATTTTTCACTACACCCGGGCGCCGATGTAGCGTGCCACTAAGGAAGCGACGACCCGATCATTGCTCACTTGACACCATGCCCAGATCGCGACACGGCGCATCACCAAGGGGGTGCCGACCCGGCCCTTGCCCATTTAGCACCATACCCGGGTTTCGATATGGCGCGTCGCTAAGAGGGTTACGCCCCAATGGTTTTCTTTCGGGTTTCATCTCTATTAGAATGACTAGATTTAATATTGGCTCGCCACGCCTATCACAACCCTCCTCCTTTACTAGGGCTTGGGACCTATTATGTTGTGATTATGTGCCATATATCTGAGGACATGACCATGGCAATGATATTTGTTTCGTTTCTTAGTTCACTGCAGTGCTTATGATTTTGTGGCATATATCTAAGGACATCGCCATGACAATCATATTTGTTTCATTTCTTAGTGCACTGCAGTGTCATGATTTTGGTAATGTCCAATGATGAGTACACATTTCCACTTGCTGTTAGATTAATTTGAGGGAATGGAGTCGTGCTGTGATGAATACACAATAAATGTTTAATGTTTGATGCAGTGATCAATTTAGACCTCTTCCTTTTTCTGGATAACTGAGGCAATGCTCATGAGCTATGATGATTCTTCCTTTCATGTCTCTCTACTGTGTTCATAACTGAGGTGGTGATCATGGGCACAATTGATTTTGTTTTTCCTGTCGCTGCTCAATGATAACTAGAGGCGATGGTCACTTGGTTGGTTCTATTTTTTTTATGCTTCCTTTTACATCTCCATGCTATGTTGATAGCTGAGACAGTGAACATGACCAACGCTGATTCAATTTTTTCACCTCTTTCTACGTCTTCCATGAGCACTAAGGCAATGGCCAGTTTGTTGCTTTGATTTTTTGCGTCTCTTTCTGCCTATTCTATTTTGTGTATTTTGGAGCCTTTCTGCTTCTTCCATGACAGCTGAAGCAGTGGTCAATTGGTTATGTTGATGACTGAGGCGGTGATCGTGACCAATGTTGGTTTTATTTTTCATGTCTCTGTGTACCTGCTCAATGATAACTGAGGCGATGGTCAGTTATGACCAATAATGTTGATTCTATTTTTTGCACCTCTTTCTGCCTCTTCCATGACCACTGAGGCAATGGTCAGTTGGTAGCTTCGATTTTTTTGTGTCTCTTCGTACATATTCTATTTTGTGTATTTTGGAGCCTTTCTGCTTCTTCCGTGATAGCTGAGGCGGTGGTCAATTGGTTAGTTCGACTTTTTGCCTCCCTTTGCACCTATTATGATCATTTTATTTAGTTTTACGCTTATACTTGCTTATGATCATTTCCTGTGATGTCAATACCACATAATTATGCAATCTGAGCTTCTGCTTATTGCTTGTGAAGTGCTAGATATATTCTTCTTCATTCTAGGCTTGTGATAGTTGTGTGTCACCATTGCTTATGACGTCTGGTTATACACTTTTGGTTCTGAGCACACACTCTATTCCCATAGATAGCATTGTCAGACACTTTGCTTGTCTGTGATGACTTTTGCTTCTCCTGTTTCTTTGAGTTCTCATTGCAACTATGTGCAATACTAATATAGGTCCGTTTTAACAGAGCCAGTCTTTTTCTAATTTCCTGATAGTGTCATTAACTTCCTACTACCAATATTACCTGAATATGATATATCTCTACAAAGTATCTCATTTATCGACTTTGTGCATATTGGTTCTAATATGTTTTGGGGGCTCTTGTTGTAGTGCCAACATTTTGATAAAAAAATGCTTGCCATACCAGTTCAAGGTTGCGCGCTATTGCCTTTGCTGCTTGTTGCTATATAGGTTCCTCCGCTCTGAGGCTTGCTACTCTACCTATTTGGCTATTTCAAACCAATTACGTTTTATACTAAAAATAGGAATTTTGGATTCAACAAAAAAATTGTGGATTAGATTTGTTACGTAAACAATAGTCTGTTGCCTAATTCAAATTAATACTGTGCAAACTGTCGTATGATCTCTTTTATTAGTCTAAACTCCACCTAGGAAGGGCAACATTCCAGTGCTTTTTAATCTTAAATTAGAGCCTTTTTAGTAACCTGACCTTACTTAGCTGAATAGTTAGGATGCAGCGCCAGGCTGCTAGCTATCAATTTCTTCTTGCTCCTTATATCTTCCTAGGGTGAATAGTCTCCTTTCTTCCATATCACCGTTGCCCTGTTCACTTGGCTGATAAGCCATGGCTGAAAGTACTATTGGTTGATTTGTTGTGAGAGAAAAATATTGTTTATTGGCTGAAAAAATACGGCTTATAAGCTAAGCGAACATGACGCATATCTAGATTCTTTTTTTAATGCATGCAATTTAGCTGCATACACTGCTTTGGTTAACAAGGGAACTGTTTATCGAAGATTCAAAATGAATTTAATTATGTTCGTTGTTGTATCAATTTATTTTTGCTTTTGGATGAAGCAAATTTAGGTTTCAGCTTTTTTTTTAAAAATGATGATAGTGGAGGGTTTCC